GTGGTAGTAGTAGTAGTAGTCGTAGTGGTAGTAGTAGTAGTAGTAGTAGCAGCAGCAGCAGCAGCAGTAGTAGTAGTAGAGTAGTAGTAACAATACTAGAAAGAGCAACAGCAACAGTGATAGTAATGGCATAATAATGGAGAATAAGGAGGCGTAGCATCCATCTTTTTTTGTTTGTTGATAACGTTTGTTCCAGCTACTTCCGGCAGGCGGGGTTGATAGCTGAGGCCCACATCACTTAGACGTAGGCTGTGCGTGTCTCGTAAGCTTTGGGATGACACAACTCTCAATACACTTCCAGCTCAACTCAAAAAACTACCGGTGACCACAAGAGCACCCCATGCACGGTAAACGCCAATCTGCATGTGCAATTGCCTGCACAGGCTTCCACATTGAAGGACACCACATTTCCAGCCACTTTGCGCAGCAGCTTCTTCCAGCCTTCAACGCATTGCACGCTCAAACAGTCACATCAGATGAAAGCTCTGCTCCGCCACATGCTATGTTTCCAGGCCGATTCTCATAATGCGCAGAGGAGCGGGACTTCTCGCCGCGGGGCAACCAGTCCACCGCTAGCTCCAATCGAACCTTCCTGGGATCAACACGGTTCCTTCGACGTCTAGTGCCTCTCCTAATACCAAGTAAGGAAACCAGGCCATGTGAAATCGGGCCTTGGTCGGCTCACCCCCCCAAATGTTGACCGAGGCGTTAGCTGTATCCGGTGGTTCCGAGAAACCTCAAGAAGCAAGCCTTGCCGAGCCAAGCTTCGTTAGGCAAGTCCATCTATGTATCCAGGGGGTGACAAAGCCGTAGCGCAGCAATGCGTAGTAATTCGGATGGAAGCCTCAACGCAGCAAGCCGCGAAGGAGCAAAAACTGGTTCCCGTCTCTACAGCTGATGAAGTCTCTGCATGAGACCCGAAGCCAGTCCATTCAGCGGTTCACGAAATGTGGCAACAGCCAGTAAGTGCCCAAGCCACCGTATGCCACAGTGACTTCCTGCCTGCGCAAGGAAGCAGGCAATGGAACTCAAGTCTGCCGCTGATCGCCGAAGCTAGGAAAGCGTGCTGGAATGTTCGAGCCCATGCCACGCAGGGACAAGGGGAAGGTGTGAGGATGCAGTACTGCCATGCATACAATTTAAACTCAAGCATTAACCCCTTTGCTCTCAACTGCCGCATCGAGCAATATCGACCTGCCCCCCGTCCTTGCGAGGAATGCACGCTGCGAGAACAGCTGGGCAGTGAAGCCATCAGCCTGGTGCTTCACCTGGCCGGAAACCGGGGTCTGCCGGCTCGACTCAACATGCTGGCCACGGTCACAACAAAAACCGACGAGGGCTGTGAATGTTTTCAGATGCGCCTCGACGCGGGCAGCTGCTGCTTCGCGGAGATGTTCTTCAAACTCCTTAAGTCCAGCGAGGATAGCCCAACAGCCGCCCATCACCCAATAGCCACAATTAGAGGACATGCGGTGGAAAACTGCTTCAATGAAGTCGAGCACCTCCGAATTGAGAGTGGCATTGGGCTCCCCAATTTCGTGGTTGGCCATGTCGATGAACGGATACAGCCTTCAGCCAGACAAGGGCGAGCGTCAGGGATCGGACATATTTCAAGGAGCACGGCCATTGGGTGCTCTTCACATCATGTCCATCCTGGCTCCATCAGCCTCACCCCAACCGGGTGCCTAGCCACAACCAATGCAATGCAAATCAAGCTCCTCCTTTCTCACAGCTTTAACTGAAAGATTTCAGACTTAGTGGAACGCATCCGCTATCGCTCACAGATCCGTACGCATGACAAAGGCCTTCGAACTCCATTCCACGAAGATGTGCGGCTACATGCTGCCATGCAACACAGCATCCTCGCCAGCCTCTGGCGGCAGTGTGAAGGACCGCGCCGCCACGAAGGAGTAGGCAGCCTGCGGCTGTGGGAACTGAGGCCTGCACGGGGAATTCGAGGCGGCTGCCCGTCCCGACAAGCTGACAGGCTACAGCGGTCAATAATTCGTAGTTCGACAACAAGGACCTCGCCGATCAACGGATCACACATGACATGTTGTTTACTACTACAGATAGAAACAGCAAGCCGCCAATCCTGTCAACTGCAACGAGCTGTTCCCGAAGCTGTGATCCTGATACTCCGCCAGTGGATGACTGGCAGCAAGGTTCGGGGCAGCTGCGGATAGAACATCGTACCTTCGGCCAGAAAAAGCCACGTCAAGTTTCATGACCCTGCAGAGGAAGCGCTTCAAAACAAGTTCAGAGCTGCACCAAATTCCTGAATTCGTGCTGCTGCGCTGCTCCCTGCGCATGGCCCGGCGCATCTTCGGCAGCTCATGCTCAGCCATTGTGCCTGGAATCTAGGGATATCCAGGGAACCCCGATCAAACGGGCAGACGTTCAACGGACTGGATACGGATAATTCTTCGGCTTCGGGTGCCTTGTCGGGCTGCCCTTAGTTTAGAGCCCCCCATACTTCCTCGCATATTACTCATGAAGGCACCTTTTCTTAGAGAGCACATCTGCATCGAATGACAAGGACAAAAATTGATCCATTGTGCCCTGCTAGGTGAGGCTACATTGAAGGGCTTAGAGTACCCGGGCCTTGCAGCTCAGCTTGGTCTTCGGCTGGCCAGAAAAGTGGCAGCCTCTGACATGCGTACTCTCGGTGCACGCATGACGTGCGACCGACCAGTCCAGTCAGCAACAGCGCAATGTCAAGCAGAGCCGTGGCAAGTCTGTGCATAGACCCCCTGAAGAGAGATGCTGGTCCTACGACTGCTGAGTAGCCAGACCAACGACTGGCCTCGGCAGCATCGTCTGCGCGGATTTTCGCAAATCCTAAGCGATGTCTTCCAGTCTATGGGATTTGTGGTTCGTGGCATAAGAAATTGGTGGAATGATGGCTCTTCTGCCTCTCGCCTTCCCGCTCGGGCGGCATGACGATGATGACGATGGGGATGCCTATTAAAGTTATTAAAGGCTCTTCAACATACCAAAGCCACCCAACTAGTCCTGAAGAGAGGCGCGATGCCACCAGTTGCATCAACACCGGGAAGTTTCTGAAAGGTTAAGCTGAGACTCTCGGACGTAAGGTGCGAAGCGCTTTGACGGGGAGCGGTGCTGAAGCTGTTCAAGGATGAATGCCTCAACAGAGTGGCATCAGCCGAGCCATTATAGTATTTCTCGATGAAGTATCGTATGCCCGACTACAAGAACTGCAAGACTAAACTTAAGTCACCGGAGGCCAAGCCTTGCTGTGAACAAGTGATGTCGGCATGACTGCTCAGGGCAAGCTACAACCACAGCAACCCGAAACTGACATGACATTCCAGCGACATCTTGTGGATCTTCTGCTAGGCTCAAGCTGACGTCGCCCAGGCGCCGAGAGCAAGAACTTGTTGGACACCATGTCCTTCCAATGAGCGGCAAGGAAACAGTCAGTCAGAGCCTTCAAGCTGTTTTCAGGCAACTCGTGGCCCGCAACTCTACCTCACCATGCAGTCGCGGGTTGAAGCACAAAGGGTGGAGAGAACAAATACTACATGAAGCAGTGAAGACAAACATTGGAGACTCTGCCTACTCAAGATACCTGTGAAAAGGTGCCGCCATATTGGGTGGATCCCAAACCTGGGAAAGCAACTTGATAAGCAAATCACAGACATCGCGGATCCCTGTCGAGTTCCCTTCCTAGCCTGAGCTGTTTCGTTGGCGTGGAGGTAGGAGACGAGTCTTTGCATCTCCACAGTCTCGTCTTTAACATGGCCTCGGAATCAGATCATGCGCAATGCTCCCTGCACTTTACCCCCCCCCCCCC